TGTTCTACATTTCAATTCATTTATAATCAATTGACTTAGTATGAAAATAAGGAGTCGGCCTGGCCGCCCCTCCCCCTTCCTCTTGCCGTCCCCTGGTCAGCTCTTCAAAAGTTCGCATTGCTGCATTCGGTTTACAAATTAATTAATTGCTGCCATATGCTAATTAAACAGCGTTTTTATACTGTAATTTCGTTGGCATTCAATGCGCATACACTCACACATTCACGTTCGCACGCACATTCACACACACACACATGCACGCACGCACGCACACAGAGAGAAAAATAAATAAATTCCAAGCGTAATTCTTTCAAATGATGTGCAACATTATTATTGGACCTCGAATGCGAACAGCGCAGAGCTTACAATACATACATACATGCGTATACGTATATGTGTGCGTACGTAGGGTATACTCGACTCAGACATACCCTACTTTCCAATAGCATAAGCTGAAGTCTATATATAGCTTAGACCCTTATAATGAATGAATTTATTAGCACCCAATATTCAGTACACTTACAGATACCCTGTTTACATAAAATGTATTTCGACATACCCTAACTGCAATTGACTTAATTTTAAGACTCTTATTTTATATATGAAATGCACTAGCTAGGAGTAGTAAACTAGCAGACACCCTCTGTTTCGTGTGTGACGTTTGGAAGGATTAAAGCACAAACCAATATACCCTTTCTTTCAGTTTGCACATTATTTATAGGGTATTTGTCAATAAGTATATTTTGCTACTCATTGTAATATGTTTCGTTTATCATTTATGTCGGATTAAAGCGATGCCATACAATACCATTTTATTTGTGCAAACAGTTAAGTACGTGAAATTACCGTTATTATGGCTAAATGCCATTCACAGTGAAATTCAGCGAATGGCTTTGCGGTGAAACAAGCTAACACCTATCCACCTGATTAACCCCTGCCACTATTTATACTTGACTAATGATGCATTTCTATGTTATACAGTTGCATCGTCGAGCAATGGAATACCCTGGAAATGCCATGGAAATACCATAAAAATATCCTAGAATTGACAGATGTATACATGTATGTATCAAGCATTTGGAGCATTTGCCTGAGTTTAATAAGACATATAGGATAACTGCTAGTCGAGCATTGCCGACTTCTTTTGACTCTAATCATAGTGATGAATAGATTCCTATTTACAAGATTAATATATCTTCCACGTGGTTTCGCGTACTGCTGATAAAAATTCGATTTGTTGTTGCATCAAATGATTCTGGTCTATATAAAATAATAGATCCAAAGTTTTACTTTATATAAAATCAGTGAAACTCAAGCCATTGACTAGGGGAAGAGAAATGGCGCCCTAATGAAGAACAATTTATGCTTACGAGTGAGGTAGAGTTTAATATGAAACACGACTAAAATAGTAATCAGAAATATAAATGTGACTATAAACTAAATGTAAATATAACTTAATACTTGAGTTACTTTCATATAAATTAATTTTCAATGCTTATAGGATTATGTTGAAGTAGGGCTAGGGTGTTCTGTACTCTAAAAAAAAAAACAATGTTTTTCTCTTAAATAAATGTAGCTATATTTTTGCCCACTTCACTCAAAGATGTTGCACATGGCATAACGTGCCGTCATTGGCAACATTTGCTCTATGCAAATTGTGAGTCTGGCTTCAAGTGCTGTCTCCTTTTGCGCAGGTGCAGCGTGCTTTCTCTTTCATGCTCTCGCAACATTAGCGTGCATAGCAACAATGTTGCTGGGCGAGCAGTGCGCATGCACTCCAGCAACATGTTGCGCGCACTTGTTTTGATTTGTGCACAGCTTGTTTATGTTTATGAGCTAAACAGCTTACAGCCAGACCCAAAGCGCACGACAGGTGGTTGCTGTGTCTGTGTGTGTATATTAGTGTGTGTGTGTGCGTGTGTGTGCAGTGTGAGAATATTTATGCATAGCAATTGCTCAATGTCGCCGTCTGTGTCGTCCAGAAGCCAAAAGTGACGCCAGTGTCCAACCCAAAGCTTCAGCATTGGCTGCTGCCGGCATCAAAGCATTTGTCATTCTGCCTGGCAGCTGTTTGTGTGTGTGTGTTGTTACTGTGGGTGTTGGCTGTTGGCTGTGCGCATCTATGCAGCAATTGTTTGGGCTGCCTTGGCGCTGCTTTCGATTCGCGCCGTTGCCAAAAGCAGATTTCGTCGTATACCTATTGACATAGCCACACACACACATGCAGGTGGGCCATAGCCTCGTTTTTCTTTCTGCTGCTGCTGCTTCTGCTTCTTCTTCTGTTTGATGGCCCATTCACGGCACACTTCACACATTTTGCAGCCGTCGCGCTGTCACTTTCAATCTGGTCGCAGCTCAGCGCGAGCTTTGGGCAGCCCAGCTCCATCCGCCCGCCGGCGAGTTTGGCATCTGCTTTGGCCACACGCCAGCAGTTGTCCTCGCCAAAAACTACCTGTCACACACACACGCACACATACATGCACACATGTACACATGCATGCATGCATTGGTGCATGTGACTGGCTGCCTGCGGCAATGCAGCATAATTCGTTTTGGCTCCTGCTTTGCCTTTAAGCCGCTTACAGCCGCTGCGTGGACGCATAACTGGGCTCTAACTAGCCCGAATGCCAGGGGCAACCACCCCCCACCCCCACCTAACCACCTAAATACACAGCTTTCGCTGCAGCAGCTGCACTGATCCCTGACTCTCTGTTTGCCTTCTCTTGGCTCACCACAACTCTTGCTCCTAAGCGTCATTTCGCATGTACAGTTGTGTGCTAATGCTTTCCAGTGTTGGGTAATGTTATATGCTATGCATAACTACTCCCTAATTGATCGAGAAGAGCTGAAATCTTCAAGTTATGTATCAATTGCAAATATATGTACATAGTTTTGTCACTCTCATTCCTCTTCTCACCGTCCCCACTCTCTCTCTGTCTCTCTCTCTCTCTGACTCTCAACTCTTTTCCTTTACTCTGCTCTCACTCTTTCTCTTCTGTTTTCTAATCTCTTTCCCATTCTTTGTTTTCTTTCTCTCTCTCCCACACTCTCCATAAGCTCCAACTCGTTGACCAGCTCCCACTAGCATCTCTGATTTCTTAGCAAACTGTCAAACATCAAGCGGTTTAACTTTCTCCCAGGTTCCTTCCATCCATCCAGATTTTTCCACGACTATACGTTAGTCACAATCTGTTGCTCGTCAAGGACCCAGAGCCAAAAAGGTGCTTCATTGCGTCTGGCAGCTGTAAAAAGGCTGACTGACTCATCGACGACTGGCCACAGACTCGGGCTTCGGTTGCGTCGAGTGGCCGACATTGTGCTCCCTGCTAGTTGAGTCTCCACCTTTCCATCGTTCCACAGTTCCACCGTTCGCTGTGTTCCTCCTTTCTTCCGCTCTCCTTTCAGGGGCATCCAGTGGGAAAACACAAAGCTAAATCGCGCACAAAGCCAATTGCCTTTCCTCTCGCCTGTCGGCTGGGTGGCAGCTCGGCGCGCTATTTTACTCTCTGCTTCTTCTCAGTTACGGATACTCATTTAAGTTGATTCACCGCATCAACAACAACACACACACACACACACACAGTTGCAGTGACGTCGGCGTCAGCAGCGACGTCGCCAGCCAATGACACTTTATGACAATTGCACTTGGCGGCTTAAAGGAGACGCCGAAGTGAGAGAAGAGTTCTGCTCTGCAAAAAATGGGTAGAAAAGAATGAATAAGTAGGAGTACAACTAGTGGAGAGTGCTCTTGGAACCCTCTTGAAATACCCTGTGCTCTGAATCCAATTGTCTTGGGCTTTTGATATTCAATGGCAAGCAACTGTTTGATCAACCTCAGCTGAATGGTGAATAGAGCAAATGGTTATCGATCAGTGAGCGAATTATCGATAGTGGGTAAGCAGAGCTTTATCTGTGTACCAAAGTCACTGCCATCTTAATCTGGGCTAACATAGCAAAGTAGAGGTCTGTCTTCCTGCACAAGCAACTTAGTGCAAATCGATATTTATCGTTGAGGGACTCGTCTCAAGATCTTGTACATACGAACGAGCACTTTTAAGTGTATTCGTTTGAGGGAGATGCATATGTAAATAGTACCAAATCGATAATTATCGATTATCGCTGACATGATTGATAATCGTAAGTGCATAAGAGATTGTGAGGTTGAGATTGTAAGTAAGTGTGTGAGTAAGATTCAAAGGAAGTGTCATCAAAATCTCAGGTAAGATATGTAGCCGGATGACTCTCCTGAATGGCAATCGATAGTTTTATAATTAGTTAATTACCTTTTGTCATTAGTCAAAGTCGTTCAGCGTTGCAGACTCGATGTGATTAGTCACATTTACTTCTCTACAGCTCGCACAGGGTATCAAAATGGGGAAAAATTCAAACAGAAAGCAGCCAACGGCACAAACAAGTGCAAATCGTTCAGGGAAAACTGGCATCGCTGACGCCAACTTTGGCTCCAAAGGAAATCCGTGCAAGTGGGCGAGGGGGGCATTGCGGGCAAAAATCGTAAACAAAATGCCGGAAAAGGCAGCAACATGGCGACAGCACAACCACGTGCTCCACATGCCTCAGCGAAGTGCATGAGCAGGAGTCCTCGTCTCGGCTGTCGTCCTGTCTGCTGGCTTGTCGCCTTGATAATGACTTTTTGTCTTTGCTCAAAATGTCACTTGATGTCCTGGCGGCTCGCGCTCAGCGCGCTCAGGGCTCATCCTTCAACTTGTTCACGTTGTTGTTGCTGTTGTTCCTGTTCTCGTTGTTGTTGCTGTTGTTTCGCCCGCACATATTCGTCCTGCTGCTGGCTGTTTTGTCCGTGGGCCGCCTTTGTTCGCGCCGTTTCGTTTTCATACCGTGAGGTTATTCAAGTTCATGCGTCTCTCCTGCTCATCTCTCCCTTGCTGTGTAGTAGCCTTGATTAATTGGCCATGAGGCGGCGCTGGGTCGCGTTGGCCTTGCCCGAACTGTTGAGATGCTCTCAGCCTGCTGCCTGCCTCTATTCATATTTTCTCCCTCTCTCTCTCTTTCTGTCTCACACACAGTTCGAATATTTCGTCAAAAACTTTTCCTTCGAAATTCGTTTGCTAAATGCCTAGCGATCATTAGTGCCGGTGCAGCATGCAGATGGGCTACAAGCTGCGCCGGGTGCCGCAGCAGCGTCGCCTGGTCCGTCATCTGATGCGCATCATCCTGGAACTGCTGCAGAGCACGCAGCGTCCGATGCGCGACACGGAAATCATCTCAACGCTGGCCGCGCGCCTCCGACGTAGCGACCCGGAGTTCCAGCGCCAGGTGGCTCTCAATCTCGAGGATGCAGTCAGCTACGGCATACTGAAGCGCCAGCTGAACGTCTACTCCCTGCGCTCCAAGCAGTTGTCGCTGATCGTGGAGAACCTAGCGCCAAGCAGCGGACGAAGTCAACGCTGAACATCTGCTCAGTATACAACTATATACTGATGATGGTCTGGGGAGCACATTCAATTACACCCGAGTACATCGATATATTTTTTAATAGATCCAGTACAAATTAAATTTATCGATAAATATAAATCGCTAAGCTCGGCTTTAGTTTGTGGAAAGGAGTTAAAATAAAATCGCAAAATATGTTGAGAGCACAGTAAAAGAAAGTTGTATCAATTGTTATCGATATATATTTTTGTTGCACGAAGCTCAACTGAATGTATGTTTATAAAACTATATCGGTAAGAATACCATATATATCCTATTAAATACGCCTAAATAAATTTATTAAATAGCAAATGCTTATCGATAACTATCGATGACATAAGGAAAATTTTCGGTGTAGTAATGTTTGAAGTAAATGCATGCACGCCTGCATTGTGCACTTGCATTACTAATCAATGCTACCAGCTTATCGATAATTATCGATTTCACTTGGCAATTGATACATAGGGATAATACCAATGTGCGATCAATTGGAGCGAATATTATTGTCGCAAATACTATTGGTAGCTATCGATTGTACTTTCAGCCACAATGACACTGGATATGGTGAGTAGAATAGTCAGTTAATCATAAAGTTTCTTGTATAAAATACCCACCGATAACTATCGATTTTAGGTGTAATAATCCAACGTTTCCACTCTCCAGATACAGCTCAATGGAACGCTGTCGATATGCCGTGTAATTAATGTCCGGATTACCAACTGACAATGCAATTCCAATTTGCAAATCAAATCGCTAACTGCCAAAATAATCGATAGCTGGCATGGACCATGGAAACTACATATGTATAAATGCCAACATGTGAGGCGTGAGCAATTGAATTATATTTGATAAAACACAATGGCAAATGGCAGACGGACGGACGCACAATCAAATTCGAATGGAACTATTATTTGCGTTAGGTTCGGGCGGGGCAAACAGAATCAACTGTAAAAATTCTGCAGATTCAGTTGCGTTTGCCGCGGCATTCGCGACGCGCTTCGTCAAATCCAATTGAAATGCATAAATTATGCCGAGAAGTATGCAACAAATATTTTGTACACATTGTAAACACACGCGCGCTCACCTGTACACACACACACACACACACACACACACACACGCACGCACACACACACATGCAAGCCAGCGTAATTTACTAACACTTTAAGAGTGTATGTGTGGGAGTGGAAATGGGGGGCGTGGCTTGGCTGTTAACACAGGGGAATTTTGTCACGTTACAAATGTGATGCGAATGCATTTGTGGTAAATATTTGCGGTTATCTAAATGAAATGCGTTGCATACTTTTTGCCAAATACATATGCAAATATATACACACACACACACATTGACACATCTACAATGATGCACATAAATCGTGGCTGGGCCATTTGCATTGAAGCGCAAAATATGCAATTAAAGCATATATTAAGCATTTCAAAATTTAAAAATCATTTTGCTAAGCGAGAAGCACAACGAAATCACACTGAGAGATTTACCAGAGATTTAGGGGTGAATTTGTTGTTGAGAACAGGTTTATAATTATTAGTTCATTTGAGATTACTACAGACACTACCGATTATAGAGATACTAAAGTACTACAGATACTAAAGATATTATAGATAATAAATATATTAAAGATACCACAGATACTACAGATACTAAAGATATTATAGATAATAAAGATATTAAAGATACCACAGATACTACAGGTACCACAGATACTACAGATACCATAGATACTATAGATTCGATAGATACTACAGACACTACAGATACTACAGATACTACAGATACTACATATACTCCAGATACTCCAGATACGACATTCACTCCAGATACTTCAGGTACTACATATACTACAGATACTACAGATTCTATAGATACTACAGACACTACAGATACTACAGATACTACAGATACTACAGATACTACAGATACTACATATACTCCAGATACTACATATACTCAAGATACTCCAGATACTACATACACTTCGCGTCATCAGGTTAGCGCCCCCCCTTACACTCATTTTCTTTTACGTTTTTCTCTTTGCCTATTGCACACAACTTCTTGGTTTTTTTTTTTATTTCATTATCATCATATGAGATGTCTCTCATACCAAAAAAAAGCGCGAGTGAAAACCCGTTATGTTTTATTTTCTATCCTTCTCTATTTTCGCAAAAAAATGTGTGCACTTATTTTGCGTCATCAGATTAGCGCCCCCAAATGCAATTGTAATTATCTTGCTTATTTTGGCAATTACACTCACCAAATTTTTTATGAAGCTCAAAGTATTCAATATATTTATAGTATGGGTAAAGAAACTGTTTTATATTTGGTTGAAAATCAAAGATTGAGGCATACTTTGAATCTAGACTATGCAACCATAAAATTGCTGAAAAATCAGGAAAAAACAGAAAACTAAGTGGCAATTTTCTTACAAATAGGGAAAACTATGGAAAAAACTATATAAGCGGTAATAATCAAGTGATTTCAGAAGGAAATAGAAGAGCATTAGTTCGAGAAGCTTCGAATTCCCACGAATCGACCACCAAGATTAGGGTTAAAATCAGTGTTAGGACGAGCTTATCAACGGTCTAAAGAGCAATTAAGAAAGTTAATTACTTAAAGAAACAGAATGTAAAAAAAAAGACACCAGTCGATATGCTGAGAAAAGAAATACGCATTAATTTTGGCCGGGCGAATATGACGTGGTCTACCCAATGGCAGCATGTTGTCTTTTCTGATGAGAAAAATTGAATTTGGAAGGAACTGATGGATATAATTATTATATCCATGACCTACTCATAGAAGAACATTATTTGGAACGGTTTCCAAGCCGCTGCGGCGGGGGTGGTGTGGCATTTGTGTAGGTATCAATATCTTACTACAGCGCTTGTAAGCTTCAATTTTTGACATCGCGCATGAACGCATAGGACCATAATATCGTGTTTAAAACTGCTGTTCCGCATTTCTATAACCTGTCTGAAAACCGGCATTAGATTTTCCAGCATGATAATGCCCCAATTCAGACCGCCCGATCCCTGAAGTCCTGGATTCAGGGCCAAAAAATTGATCTCATGGAGTGGCCACCATACTCACTCGACCTTAATATCATTGGAAACGTCTGGGGATGGTTGGTCAGGAAAGTATATGAGTCCGGAAAGCATTATAGTACAAAGACAGAGTTAATCGAAGGTACTGAACACGCTTAATCAACCATATCCTTGAATAATATTGAACAACTTTATAATTCCATTCCTAATCGAATTTTTTAAGTAATTTCAAACAAAAAACGGCACTACGCACTACTAATATTACTTAAAAATAACAATAGCTTAAAATACAGGTGTTATTTTTGGTAATTAACTTAAATAAATTGAATTTAGCGCAGGGGGCGCTAATCTGATGACCAAATTTTTGTTACATGTTTTTTGTACATTTTACAAAAAAAAATTATTAAAAAATAATCCTTATTGTTACAGTAGCCATTCTTTTTGTATTTTAAAGAGAAATAAATGGAGTATAATGTAAAAAAATTTCAAAGATGGAGCTCTGCTGGTTTAGATTTTATTTAGCTTTGAGGTTGAGTGTAAAGGGGGGCGCTAACCTGATGACGCGCAGTGTATACTCAAGATACTCCAGATACTTCAGGTACTACATATACTACAGGTACTACAGATACTACAGTTACTACAGATACTACAGATATTACAGATACTATAGATACTACAGATACCAAAGATACTACTACAGATACTGTAGATACTACTACTACTACTGTAGATACTACTAAAGATATTACAGATAATAAAGATACTACAGTACAGATACCACGCTATTTCCTGGGAACTGGGAACTCTTTATATCGAAAAGGTTTTGCAGAACATTTCTGAAATGTTTTCTCCTTTTTCACTTTTAGCTGTAGCTAAAAGTCCGTAGACTAACTTTCCACAGTCCACAAATATAGTCGCATTCTATTCTCTATCTTTGGCTGGTTCTCCTAGATTATTTTGTCGAGTGTAGATTTTTTCCAGTTTCCAGTTTTATTTTGATGACATTTGAATATCAGTTGTGTTGTCTTGTTTTGTGGCAGGTCTGCAACATTGTCTGCAATTGTGAAACCGTTTTGTTTGCCATGTGTAAAGCGCTAACCACGAAACGTTGCCACTCGCCCCCCTTCGCCACTCCCATGGCGGCGCCGCCGTTAAACAATTTGGGGCGCGGCTATGTAAATTCAGTGACATGCATTATTAATAAATAAGCTGGCGGCCAGCATGAGATGGGCGAGAGTTGGACAACAATTTAACTGTTTAGTGTGAATTAGCTTTAGAGGTCTACCAATTAAAGCTAAGCTTGCGGATTTTAGATAATAATTTTAATAATATATAGAGATTAAGTACTTAGAGATTCTGCTGGTATCAGCTTTGGGATTAGTGAATTGGAATTGTTTTCCAATTGAATTGAAATGTGATTTGATAAAATCGAATTTCTGTTGGCATTAACGCTCTTCTATGCACTTCTCAAATATTTAAATTTAAAAAAATCATACACCATGCCTTCTTCAAAAAGACTCCTTTGACTATGTTTTTCTCTCTTGCTCTCAATCACTTCTCTCTGCCTCTCAATCTATTTTTTACTTATTTCCCCCTCTTTCTCTCTCTCTCTCTCTCTCTCTCTCTTGGGTTCTCCATTTCATTCCACTCTTTCTCTGTCTCTCTATTTCATAGCATAGCTCTAGATTTCGCTTAGACTTACACTTTTTTGAAGCTTATTTCGCTTGCCTAATTGTGAACGGAAACGGAAACGCGCCAAACTCATAAATTTACGCAACTCAAACGGCAGAAATGAGACCGAAAATATTATATATCAGAATGGGAAACAGCCCAAGCCACATAAAACTGTCATAAATTACGTATAATCGTAAATTAAAAGAAATCAAATAAAAATGTATATGTATCACAGACGTACAAGTGTTATCGAAGTGAAAATACCCTTGAATAACTGAGATCGATGAACAATTCTCTGATTGATGAAACTAGTTGGCGATATGAATTGAAGGGCCTTATTGGTCTGATGAATGGATTGATGGATTGGAGTAGTGGAGCAATAGACAGATTGTTAAGTTGATTGAATTACAGATTGCTTCAAGGGGGAGCAGAGAGCAAAGTAACAACAAGTAAGAGTGGGCCAGTCGGGTGTGCATGACTGTGAGATACCCTTTGTACGAGGGGATTGCTGGTAAAGATAGCAATAGATCGATTGAGCATTGTTATGGTCTCGTTTTTAGCTACTACATTGTAGTACCCTTTCCCATTTAAGAGGTTGCTTGGCTGCGTCACAACATGCTGTGATTGTTTACAGGGTATATCTGGGCAATGGGCTTCTGCGTTGTCTGCCGCCCAAGCCTGCGCTAAGCCTCTTCTGTGAAACCAGTGGCGCTCAATAGATACCAAGAGAGCATTCTGGGAAAACTACTTTTGAAGCACAACAAACTGCGAGAAGAAGCAGAACAACTATGGCAACAGCAGCAACTTGTTGACATTTTGAGCCAGTTCAAGTGACAATGGCGCTGCACTTGGCCAGTTGCCTTGGTAGCTGCAAAGTTCAAGACCTCTGAGCTTGGCAGAAGCAAAAAACACTAGCAACAATAACAACAACTACAGTAACAGCAACAACAACAACGACGGAAACAGGCGTCGCGCACTTGTAAATTTCTTATGAACTGCGTCCGCAACACACACGAACTTAACAAGTAACTAACTGTAGATGTGTGTATGTGTGTGTGTTTGTTGTAGTTTCTTGTTATTGTTGTTGCTAACTATGACTGCTCCTGTGCCTTATGTAGTTGTTGCTGTTGTTGCACGCACAATTAAATCAAATTACCTCAAG